AGTAGATAGGATGATCGGAGGTGACAGAGCGGTACGAGCCCGAGAAATAAGACGCTGAAATACTAGATACTCAATAAGATAAAGTGGAAGCCGATTGAGTGTGATAAATTGTAGGATATCTTCTTCCTAGGGTGCTTACGAGAACGGTATTTCGATATCTTCCTAAGTTTAGTATTACTATTAGTAAATGAAATCGAATAAAAGGGTTACTCCGAACGTACTACTTGCTTTAGAAATTTGGTAATCTATGATTTCTTTATATATCCGCTCTTTAAATAAGCCGCTATCTTGAGATATCTCTATATTGTCGATATACTATAATATTGTATTTTACCTATGGCCTTCGTATTGACTATATTAGGGTGCTTAAGAATATTTCTATAACGTTGGCATATAACCTTTGGTGCACTATCTATACTATAAGCAACCTAATTGTAGTGGCTCCAAATCTCCGAATGGCGCGTTAAGTCCTAGACAATCTTGCTCTTCCTCCCAAAATCGGTTTGTAGCCACTATTCTACCTATTCGTTATAGGTCATTTTATCGTAGAGAATAAACGCCTTCTTTCGGTCGGGTCTAACGCGTTATAAGGAGGATAGGAGTATTGGCGGAATTGTCGGTCGGAGGAAGTTAGTGTCAAAGGGATCGATCGTATACTAGCTGCTAGAGGGAGTCGCTAGGTGGTTTAATAGCGCAAGATAGCTGATATTATCTATATCGCTATTATAAAGAGAGGACGCGAAGTCAGACTACTGGCTTTGTGATATGATAAATTGAACAAGTGTAAAGTAAGTGACAGAGGGGGAATAGAGGACTTACGGAGCAATAATATCTAATAACGGTGTGTAAATAAAGCAAACGCGATAGATCAATTTAGAAGAGGACCTTAAAACGTATCCGCGTGGTTTATTGGTTATATTACTCTACCTCTGTATCTATCTAGCCCAATAACCTAGTAAGAACCTAGAAAGCCTAGCAAGAACCTAGCAAAACCCTAGAAAGCCTAGCCAAAACCCAGAAAACCTAGCAAACCCCTAGTAAAAACCCAGCAAAAACCCAGAAAGCCCAATTCCCACCCTAGCTTCCACCTAAGATCGTCAAAAAGTTTTATCCTGTCTTACCTATCCGGGTTTATATAAGTACTTAAAAAGACCTACAATCTATATAATCTTACTAGCTACTAGTCGAATATAGTGGAATAATAAAGAATATAATTAGTATATATAATATATAAGATTTAAAGTAACAATACCCGAATTCCATAGTGGTTTTTTTAAGCATTTATAGGTATGCAAACACTATATATTGTGAAATATATATCCGCACACTATATATATTTACACTATGATTTCTGACAGCCGTCAAAAAATCAGTACTAGGTTTTAAGATAAACCTCAGTTTAATAATTTCTGACGGCCGTCAGAAAACCTATAGTGTCGCCTATAGAACTCATCTACGTATATCTAACATGAGGTCAATAAAAAGGTCATAAGTCAAACACTGTGAAAACCATAGCAAAGTCTGACCTTTCTAAGCCTAAAGAACCATAACTACTTATTTAAGGTTGATTCTACGCGTTTATAGCTTTGAACACACTCTAGTTATACTAGAAAAGTATGGTGGTTCAAGGTATAGATCAAAACCGATGTAAAAAACAGTGAGTTATCTTGATGACTGAGCAGTTTTATGATTGAAATAATGCAAAAGTTGGGCCGAGTTGGGTCCAAACTAGGTTTACTGGGGGCCCAGTGCTGGGCCCGGGTTGGGCCCGGGTTAATGAAGTTCAACCCGGGCCCAGGCTGGGTTGGGTTCTGGGCCGGAACCTTGGGCCCAAAATGGGCTTTGCGGAAGTCTAACTATAATCTTTTCTCTCACTTTATTCTTCTTACTCTCTTCTTTATTACTTCCTTTCCTCTTATCACATGATCCTATAACCCTGACATCCTAAGATAGGTTTAGCGTTATAGCTTTATACAAACTTATTCTCGCATCGTTAGAGCTATCCGTTCGAGATCACGATCAAGTCCGAGGGTTGCGAGAGATATTAGATATACGGTATAAAATCTAGAAATCTGTTAAGCGCATGAATACGCTTGATTAGGAGTGTAAAGGTGGGAAGTAGGATCAACATAAGATATTCTTCTACCAAGATTGGCTACGATTCCTTTCTAAATAGTTTGAAGAGAAATATCGTCTTGCGCAGTCTAATAGTGCTAGAGAGAATAATAGTACACTAGGAGTCTTCACCACTAGAATCTCAGAAAATAATATCTATGAAGAGCCTCAGCCTGATCCTGGTTTTCCTTGGGTGGATCTTCAGGACGTTACGACTGAGGAGATGTTAAATGCGTGGTTAGGGCCAATGAATATACCACACTACTTTTAAAATGTACAAATTAGCCTTGATAGTTTCAGTGACGAATATATACCCCTCTCTGCTTTCTTTTATTTGAATTGCCATTTTATACTAGTAGTTCTAACCAAGTACTCAAATTGGACACGGCCTGTTAGGCGGTGGATCCAACCAACCCCGCAGACTAAAGACCAAATAGAAGCTTTGATCACATCAGTACATATACTTACTTTGATAGGGTGCTTATTATCCAACACCAATACAGAGAGCTGAGAAGAATTTATGAACGGAAAAGAGCCTTAGTGGGGACAACAGATACGTTTATGTACTTCTTGTGAAATGGAGCATAAATAGCATGGAGAGCTTTAGCAAGCCAGCAACAGCTAGAATTCGTAGTTTGTGTTTACATAGCGGTTGCTCTCAGCTCCGTATCTTGCGAACAGGACCGCATGGAATGGGCACGCCCCACTGTTCCGTTTCAGTCCAAGCATGTCTGCCCATACTCACGGTCTGCTCATACTCCACGGTCTGCTCATACGCCCTCCAGTCGCAGGAGATTCCCGGCCATGGACATCTGCCAGTTGAGCTGGAGCCACTATGGACGTCAATCATCAGACTGCCATCACAATTGGCTTTACAGCAAGCTCCAACCCCCAGTCCCCGCGAGCCCCTCATCATCCCTGGCAGCTGAGCGAGAAAACTGTTCAGTGTATTTTCGGTACATGCGAAATAAAGGCACGTTTTCACGTATCCAGAGATAATCGTATTTGACTTCAACTGTAATGTTGGGACAAAATCTAATGGTATTCGAACAAGCGGTTTGTCCCCATAGCATACTATCCACTGATCTCTGACGTAGATATCCTGTAATGCGAGGTAGTTTGCCTATCTGCGGGGTACATGACTTTGGTTATACCGATGTTAATCGTAAGATATCGGTTGTCTCCTGAGGATTGATGCTATCTTGTGTCTTAATCTCATGCCATGAACGGAACTTCAAAAGACTACCGAAATCGCGCCTAAAATACTTTGAGGTTTTCAGGGATTTGGTAACGTCCCACAGCTTGACGATTTGGTCATACGAGCCCGACGCGATCTGCCTACTGTGCGGAAAGAAGGCCACAGCGGTGACCCAGCTAGGGTGGCGAACTAGTGCCTCAAAATGCTAGTCCCATGGGAAATGTCTAGGTCTACTTGCAGGTGAGACAATTTCGTCATTGATCCGGATCACCGAGTTCCTAGGCTCCGCCACCCCTTTACCCTCGTTGTTACTCGACGTCTCTCCTATGATCACACAACTTCAATCTACGCTGCTCTCTCTCGGTCGGCCCTACTTTCCCCTTTGCTTAGACTATAGAGCTCGAGATACGGTAGCCACTTAGATATCAGTCGACTGGTCTATAGTTAATATCTCCATATATAGGTGTGTACACCTAATGCTTCTGGGAGATCTGATTAAGTATCGCGACAGTAGATCTGCATTACGGCTAGCACATTATGTTCGCCTTACCGAGCTTAGTAGTTCAATTAGGAACCTGAAGATCAACGAGATCGGATCTAGCCTAAATGATTGGCTAAGGTAGCTCAGCTGCGATTCGCGTCAGCCTATACTTACCTAACGTAGATTCTAGCTGCATGATCGGCTTGTATACGCCCACACAACCACACTGCAATGCAGATCTATCATATCTTAAACTTGATTGACCATTATTATAGCGCGCAAACATTCAGGAATCACATTCAGAATAACTGTTAGTCACCCTTATTTTGTATACCGTATATGGAACGAAGCAGTCATATATAGATGCCAAAAGATTGATATGGTACTTTGAGACGCGCATATTCAACGATCATAGTATAAGACTAAAGCTGCGGGAGATTCTCACCTGAACTCTCATCCTCATCAAATCCATCACCATTCTTCGTTAGCCGCTGACGCTTCCTGGCAGGAATCGAAAACTCAGATTCTGCATCTCAGTGGATCCACCGAAATCACTTCACGGGAAGTTTCATTTTGCTTGTGATGTCTGTACAGTCTTCTAATACTTATCTCCGTCCCAGAAATGTCTTCTTCTACACTTCCAGACCTCGAAGGAAATACAACTTCACATCGCGATATAGAAAAAGGCTAGGTGAATGTCTCCAATTAACAAGATTGAAAGGCGAGGATATGGGACAAAGCCACGTTTTCCTGGGTAACAAGTCCAATCCAAGAGCTCTGAAAGCCGCTGCTAGACTCTGTATCTATTCTTCTATACTATAGATATACCAGCCGAATACCTTTAACTTGACGTGACTATGCCTATAAACAAAGAGCCAGGAATCAGGAGTTGAGATGAAGGCAGGATGGCATGTTCAATTGGTTAGTCTTAAAAATACATTCAGCAACTTCATGAATATAGGTCGGTTAGCTTTCATCTAGTCTACTATCATAAGAAGACTGGAAGGATAAGCTGATAATCGGGTAATATGATAGCATTGAGGAAACCTTTGGCAGCATTTTTGTTTCTTATTGTGATCCATGTAAAGATATTCTAAAGACGAAAAAAATTGATGCTGTCTTTCTTCCACTGTCTTCAATCTTATATTCTTCTTCGTCAGCATTAGGGGGATTCTGAACAGAGTCCTCCACACAGGAGAATGCCCTTCATGCTTGTTCATTCTCGAATTGCATTCCCCACACCACAGTAGCGAACTCGACGAGTTCTTGTGTTGAAAACACTATGTCGCATTCTCTGTTGTTCTCCGCTGGCCGTCGGAAAAGAAGGTGAAAGGGAATAAGGAGCTGTGGTGTAGGCTGGTCGGGATGAAAGTGGATTTTATCACCAGACTTCTTTATAGTCAAGCATGATTTTGAGATAGGTCGGGAGAGCTGAGAGTTCCACTCCCACTGCTCGATAGTGATCTGGGTCTTTTTGGCATAGACTTTGACTGCGATAGCCATGTTGGCCTGTCCTCTCGCTGGATCTACCCAGTAGTGGGCATCGCGGCGAAGTTTTCCGGAAGTCTCCGATGAAGCGACTTCTATAACCACCGAGGGTCTCTTAGAAGCTCCGCGGGGTGGTCTTCGTGGACTCCATCCCCCGTCTGCCTCCTTGGTTATGCCATCTCCGCTAGTCAACCTGGTACGTCCCCATGAGTAAATCGCTTTGTGTAGGTCCATTTCCTGGAGGGCGAGTTTGAGCGTGTCGTCAAAAGCAATTGAGGCTTGCTCGTGGGCTGGGAGAGGCATCTTCACGACAAGGATATTTGTTTTCGGACTGTATGATATCCTGCCACGAAAAGGACGATCTTCTGCTAAGTGCAGGAAGTCGCGTGTGAAAGTCGAAGGCTGAATGATAAACATAACGTGATCGCTCTGTGTGCCTTCCGTCTGTGGCAGCGTAATCAGATCGTCTTGCCCTCTTTCGCGCCTTCCACCACTAGTAAGTGCTTCGGTATTTTGTGCAGCGCAGAAAGAGCTATACAAACGATTACACTCAAGTGAGAGGACTAGACAAAGGTCATCCATACCCTTGTAGTGATATACTTTAACCGATGGAGGCAATCCTTCGATATCATGCGGGCCATATTGGGCGGTGACCATCTTTGCCTTGAGAGAAGAGGAAGAACTGCAGAAGAAGAAAGGTGCACCAACGAGAACCTACACAGTGAAAATTTTGGAATAAAATCCCAAAGATAGTGTGATGTAGAAAGCTGTAAGTCATTTCCCTTTGGGGACTTTTACCGGAGGTTCATGTTAGTAATAGGGAGATTACCTCATTATGATTGGACTACATGGTTATCAGTCTTACGTTCTGTGTAGCACTGGCGCCACACTTAGATGGTCAGAAATCTATCAGGTGGAGTTACCACGATTTTTCAATATATGCTCATAGAAAACTGTAGTCATTCCACTGGTCCCTCCGTTCACATCATACCGGATATTGGATGGGGATTGAGCAGAGCTTACCCTAGTGAACCTTGTCTTGGTGTCATCCCTCGCTAGCTCATGCATCAAAGTACAATGTCCTTTTCTCCCGAGTGTCACTCAACAACCTCGATATTCTTCTTCGAGAAACGGATGAAAAATGGGTTCATTCATTATTTTATTAGCATCGTGTGAGCTAGAGACGATGGCGAGAACATTTTCTCTATAGAAATGAGACAAAAGTCAAGTGGGTGGCGTGTTCGCGCCCCCTTTTCATCTAGATGCTCAGTCAACCTTATTAACCCTGGTCGCGGGCCGCAGAGCGAGAGCTTAGCCAGTTCTTAGCCAGTTCTTACTCAGGCGATGCCTGTTTGATTACTGGCTCTCTGTTGACACCCCTATGATCAACAGCTATACTTGGAGTGATAGCTAAGTTTGATTGGCCGCTGATGTCTTTGGCGGTAATCGAATGTTTCAACTTCCAGCGGTTCATATAGCTCAAATTGGATATTTTCCTAGGATCTTCCATTCTGAACTCATGTGCACCTGAATCAAACTAAAGTGGAAATCTATTTCGTTTCGAATCGAAAGGTGTCTTCTCCCGCTCTTCCAGACCGCGAAGACGGAACAGACTTAGTCTCTCCCGGCGAGCTTCAAAAAAAAAAACTATGTTCGACTTATGTACAATATGTTTCCATTCTCTTGGAATATTTGAAGACTTTATTTAGGCTCTCAGAATGAGCGTCAGAGATACATGGCTACGTGCTTCGTGCAAGGCAAATGAGAGACTAAGACCAAGAGAAAATGGTCCATATTTTGCTACCCACGATCTCCATATAAATTTCGCGTGAGCGTATTACAGAGAAGCGGTCCGCTTCAAATCTCACAAATTTGTGTGACGAAATGCATCATAGCATCGCAATTTGAGACTGGTCTCTCGCTCGAATCTGATTACTGCATGGATGAGGATCAGAATATCAAACTTTTGTCTGATACTATGCATTATGCGCAAAGATACAATTCAATCCTCCAATATGACAATTTCCTTATCGCTCTTCAAACTCCCTGTTTCTTTGCAAACGTACCCCCCTTCGCCGGTGATTAAAGGCTGATCCAGGGGTTGGGGAATGTCTGCATAAGAAGAATCTTTGTTGATTGGGTGCTCAATAAGGCAACCATGGACATATGCTTTAATACGGCAAACACTTCCATCGGAAATTGCAGATGTTCTTCTGGAAGGAATTTCTTCGATCTTTATGTAAGTAGGATCGAATATTTCCCTAGGCTGGAAGTGTAGGAGCTGATACCGAGACTTCCGAGGCGGAACAAACTCAGCACGGGCTTTGAAAGCATATGTAAATACAATCCCTAGATCTCTGGTGATCTAATGCTTGATTTCTTCAAGCCCTTTAGCATCGAATAAAGGGCTGAATAGCTCTAGAAACCGAAGTTAAGTATCCTCTACCTTTTTCCGGATCTAGCAATGCTCAAACTGATGGTTATTATTGAGTATTGATTGAAGAGAAGCTCTGTGCAGCGATTCTAAAGTACTAGGAAGGGCTAAGTCATTATTAAATACTAGTATTAGTCAAAGCCTTTTCTAGAGCATGATAGTCACGTACTAGTCTTTTGTATTAACCGTTGCAATTCTCGCAGTATATAACCCTTATAATGTAGAGCTATCTAGCATTCTGAGAAAAAGATTTGATCCCGCACAAAACCAAAATTCAAAGCGCGCATTGCCTTAATTGGACTAGAGACCAGGAAGCCTATCGTGCCAAGTAGGCTTTTGACAAAATTATGAAGGAACTTTGCTTTCCGGGGTTTTTTGCGAATTCTCGAGATCTTCTAGCTCGATAAACATTTAGCAAGGAAGCCTACTACGCGCCGCGTTCGTTATTCCTATTCAGCTAAAGCCTTTGAAAAGCTCGAGGAACAAGTGAAATTAAAATCCCAATCTTCCTTGATTTTTATAAGCCTTTCTTGAGCGCTAAGCTACTCGTCGAGGGCAACAATCTAGTGAATTTTCCCCTCTAATTGCTCGTCTCTCTGTTTGAGTTTATTACTTAGTTCCGTGATTTCAATTGTTAATAATCTAGACGCACGGGTTTCAACATCCTTTAACTCTTTATATTGGCCTAGCTTTTTATTGAGTTCTTTGTTAGCTTCTTGAAGACGGGTCATATAGTCTTGCAAAGAAACGATTCTGTGGTCGCGGTGCGTGCTTAAAAGGTCGATCTCCCGCTTTAGCAGGTCATTCTGTCGCTTCAGAAGACACGTGTTTGATTCAGCCTACGTGGTGGAAATTGAATCTTCTCGCACATCGTTGTTTCTGGGTGTGCCACGATGGGTTCTTATGTCGATAGGGACTAATAAGCTCAAATTTGTCTCACCGATTTGGGTTGAGTGGATGTCAGCCTGACCGGCTCTCCTAAGCAGCTGAAATACTCTTGGTCAGCGTTTCCGAATAGGATATATCACTTAATCGATGCTCTTGCCTACTTGCGTTGAGACTTTGGACAGTCTTCTACTTTTAGCCACCGCTGAACTTGTAGAAGAATCTTCTGATAGCTCTCTTTTTAGCCCAATCGCCGGGCTTAATCCCTCCCTACGTCTACCTCGCCTAGGACGAAGCTTGGTGTTCAGGATGAGATATAGGAAATGCTCACTCTGGTCCGGTATTGGTGGACTAGAGTCATAATACCATCGGTCTGCGAGTCTACGACCAGAACTCGTGGATCCTGCGCGCGATGATCCGCCCCCTAACGCCTGTGCTTCCAGACTCATGTTGATATCTCCTGGGAATTCAGAAAATTTCAGTGTTGCCACTGGGCGGTCTGCCGATATAACGAAAGATGAATAAAAGGAGAGCTTTCCAGGTAGTGGGCTGAAATACGCGAGAAAAATCAGTGAGGCGGTTCCCTAGGCTGTGCCATGTTAACTGCGCCGTGCTAAGTCTATCACAATGAGACCCCTGCTAGCGCAAGCGCCTACGGTGGCTATGAAATTAGCACCCACAAATGTCTGCCTAAAATTGTCCTATAACTATTTCTCTCTCGGATATCCTTTTCTTTGAAATCCGTCTAGAATCGAGAGAATATGCCTCCTAGGCCGAAGCTGTCAATGCCTTACCGAAAGCGGCGATATGAAGATATCACACCTGACGATAATGAACGTGCTACTTCATCTAGCTCCAACAACGACACGGCGAGAGAACAGGCAGCGAATCCAATCACTTCGAAAAGATCAAACGGCAACCTCCGAACGCCAAATCCCATATTTCTCGTCGGAATTGACTTCGGAACTACCATGACCTCAGTTTCATACTATAAACTCAAGCTTGGGAAACGACCAACAATAGGAATCAATAAGAATGCTATAAGATCAGTTATTTCATGGCCCAATACTGCTTCTAGTCAGAATAGGGGCGAGGTCCCTAGCGAAAGCTTGTACCTCGGCCATGAATTTTATTGGGGCTATAGAGCTTAACTCAAAGCCTAAGAAGTTCTTTCTAGAGAAGAGTTGAACGTATCTAACAAGCCAATTAAGTTTGCAAAGCTGCTCTTAGCCCACTCGCTATCCGACAACAATAGCCAAGGCAGAGATAGCTCTTCTCCCAACAGCTCACATCACGTTTCGCAAACGAATAAGGCCGGGGCACCATATAAAGAGCTCAAAGAAATATTAGAGGCACTAGGAAAAGATATAAGGGATATAATTCGCGATTATTTGATCGAAGTTTTCAGACACACTAAGCAATATCTAAGTCAGTACGAAAGCTTTAGAGACACAAGCAAAGTTAAACTTGCTCTGTTAGTTCCGGCCGGCTAGCCACTAAAAGCTTCTTAGAGCCTACAAGAGATTTTGAAATAGTCAGTGGAAGCTGTGGGCTTTGGCCAGGGGTTTGATTTATTCTTGCTGAATAAGCCCGAGGCAGCGTCGGCATTGGCTCTTGATCAGCTGGTTAGTGCAAGAGCGCTTGTGGTATGTATTGAACCATAAGATGCAATATCGGCCTTGGAAGCTTAAGAATATTCAAGAAGGGAGAAACGTTTCTCGTGTGTGACGCCGGAGGAGGGACAGTTGTTAGTTGGCGCTTTCTCTTGACGAAATACCACGAGGCTTATCACGCTCCACAGGATGTCACCACCTACACAATCGATTCTCGAAGTCCATTTCGATTTAGCGAGGCTGTCACTCCTAATGGTATATGTCCTTTCTGGTTTGAATGCCAGGTGCTTATATTAGACTAGGTGGAAACTTTGGCTCGGTATATGTGAATCAGGCCATGGAGCGTTATTTCAGAGACTTGCTGAAGAACGATGAATCTTTGGAGAAAAAAAAAATTTCAGCGGAGGAGCAGCTTTAGCACAACATTCTTCCTCATTTTGAAGGCACTCTTAAACGAGTGTTTGACATTTCGAAAGGCCTCGACGGGTTTGAATACTTCATGGTTCATGGTCTAGAGGCTGATGATACGAAAGGCTTCTCTAAAAATAGAGTCAAAGTTCAGTGGTACTATGTCCTTGCCATGCGACTGCTGGCGTGCCAACCTACATGAGATTATATTCTAATTTCTTTTTCGTGTCAGGAGTGAAGTATTTGACTGGTTCCAGGAAAGTCTTCGTGGGGTCGCGACGCTGATCCAAAGACAATTGGATGCATCCAAAGAGGAAGGAAAGATTTTACAGGTAAGACTGCCAATGTTGGAAAATATGTTGTAGCTTCCTCTGACAGAAGCTAGAAAATTTTGCTAGTTGGAGGGTATTCGCAGTCACCCACTTTAAGACAATTCTTAAGCAAAGAATTTCGAAAGATTCAATTTTTATATCAATCAGATTGGTACTCTCAGCCGTGAAGACAAAAAAAGTTTGTCGTCTAACTTGTCTATTGCAGGGAGGCGGAGACTCTTGTTTCGCGGGGAGCAGTATATCGCGCAATTGACAAAAGCAACGGACCTTCTCGTCGAATCATGGCAAATATTGGGATTCTCTAGATTGAACAATGTGATAGCAAGCACCCTGGCCATAGAGATGCCTCAACAGATGTCAAAAGACACCCAAAAGACAAGAAATTTTATGTTCCTAACTGTGTCAATTGGGTCATCAAAAAGGTAAAATTTCAGCTCTTTTGCTTGCCTTTCACTTTCTCATACTGTCATTGAAGAAATCCGGACATACACTCAATTTGGTAATTAGGGACAAGAAGTTGCTTTCGACGATTACTTCAGCGAAACGCTGTATCAGCAATTCGCGGAAAACGAAGATTGGGAGTTTTCGCAGCGCCTGTATTACTCAGACACTGAGAATGTTCAAGACCACTATCAACTCACTCATTCTTATAATCAAGGTGAGTAAGATATCAATATATCGTGTGCACTGGTTTCGTTGCATTATCGTTAATACTAGTATCCATTCAGGATGCGAGAGCGCTGGGATGCTCAGTGTGGACCTAACCAAGTTGAAAGAGGAGTGTCTTGTTCCACTTCAAGGAAATCAGGGTAATGAGTACTATGAGATTTGGTATGATGTACGCATGGAATTACATGGCCGGAATCTCAAAGTTTCTCTCGTCTATCCGCCAGGCAAAGAGACGCAAAGCTCTCTCGAGATTTGCATTGCAGCATCATTTATCCCCGGCACGGAATGAAACCAATGTGTCGTTATCCATGACTTGGGTCTTGGACACATCGACTAGAGCTGATCATGGACGCCATGAATATATTCTCCATCAATAATAACGATCGCGACCTCATTTGCACTTGTTTTTATCTTTCATGGATAGCTCAGTCAAGATTCTCGTCTCTTATTCTTCATCTGACGATATAATCATTGGGGACGATGGCCTTCCACCCGATTGACAGCCTCTTGTGCTATCCAAAGCTTCCAATCTTTCTCTCCAACACAATATTGACTTTGAATCTGCTTTTTTTGACCAATCTTGCGTGAATCGGATTGGTTTATTGAGATGACGAAATCCAACTATTAAGGGTTGGTTCAGACAAAACTGGAATGTTTGAAAATAGATACCATCCCTTAATACCCTATTTACTAGGCTGGATAGGCTTTCAAAATTGCTCAAAATACGGAAAATAAAGAGTCCTCGTCTTGGAAAATCCCCCGAGTGGGATATTCCATCCACCAATATGCTATCATCTCCGCTTTTCACAAGTCGTGGTAAATAAGGCTATATCTCAATCGTGGACCCTCTATACTCGATAGTTTGCTTGCTTTGAAGGCGTGATAGTGAAATATATGGGTCTCTTGGTTCTCTTTGCCCGATTTTATGGCTTAAGTAAACACTTTGCACTAGTTGTATTAGGTGAGGAGATTTATCAATTCGAAGTCTAGCAGTAACCTCTCTTGACTTCTTCACCTAGAAGTGGTAGGGTATAGTCCGGTCCTACTTAGAAAAGCAACTCGAGAGGCATAGCATAGATACTACTGCTGTTAGATTATCCAAAATCGACTATTTCAAGATGCGCTTAAGTAAAGCTTGTATACTTGATTCCCCTACTTCCGGACAACAATCTAAGCCGAAATTCCTATCGCATACAAATTTTTCCAAAAGAGTTTTCAAAGCACTTTCAGAGATAGCAAGGCACGTAAGCTGCCTTATAGGCTCCTAGTCATTTGTCATAAACATAAGTAACGCGATACTAACATAGAATATTTCCTGTCGCTAGTCGTTCTCACATACTAGCCTTGGCTTCCCGGTCCAAATGCTTTCTATAGAACAAATGGTAGTAGAGGAGACTTTCCAAGCTTTTGAAAGATGCTTGAGTATATTTTGAAGCCAGACTTGAGTATCCTGTTTAGATAAGAAGGAGAAGAGAAAAGTATCGATGTTATCTTCGGTAATCTAGAGCAAAAGGAAACGAGATTCAAGGATAGAAGTATCTCGAATTACACCCTCTAGTAGAATGACATTCAAAGAGGCGGGGTCTTCTAGTTCAGAAATAAATGAAGTCTAGGTATGCGCTTTATTATAGTCTATCTAACTAGTAATCCGCGATATTCGTTGAGACATTGTCGAAAATATATCTAGATCATGGTCGGTTAATTCGCTAGTCGCTAGTATACTGAGCTTATTGATAATAGCATCCCGGTAGACATCACGAGCACAATCGAAGATATAGTCAATAACTAACAGAAGCTGCAAGGCGCCATCCTTCTAGCGAATGTCCCTATTCCATAGATAAACAACAGGCTAACGATAGTAAGTATATGGTAGAATGATATCTTTAAGAGATATAGTTTCGACTTATATATTTAATAAAGCTAGTGTCGCCTTTTTCCACAAATCCTGCGTATACGTCCCACTATTCCCCACGCGTAGTAAGAAACTATATAAGCGGCCTAGTTTCCTACTACGTTTCTTTATCTGCTGCGTTGACAAGATCATACTAGATTTGCAACAAACGGCGAAGACAAAATGCAGACTGCATTAAATATTTTGCTCGATTAGCTCCCTAGCTTGATTTGGCTTCTATTATGAAGAACGGGAAAAGCAGAGGTTTAGGCTCGGCACTAAATAGACTTAGCTCTATGGAATCACGCAGAGTAACGTTGGATGACTCTATGTGCCTCTTGTCAACCGAGTCTAGCAGAAATCGTAAGTTGTCGGTCTATCGTAGCCCAAAGATGCGATCTGGGTATTCAGAATGCTTTAATTTAAGTGGGTGCGTGGATATCACTAGTGGGGGAGTGTGTTTGATCATTGCCTCCGCTCGGTCCGAAAATAGCATGTTGATTCCGCTGTCATACCTATGAACTAGTTAGGAACAACTAGTAACTCCCTCGAAATTACTATCTAAAACAGACCTATTGTCACCTCGAGCGCTTATGCACTGGCATAGTTTGCGTTTCCGTCGTCGATCCTCTAGTGAGTGGGCTTGCTTCTCGTTGCTACCTATTGCAGCAGGAATTTCTGATTGCCATAGCCTATTGCGACAAGTCGGGCTGCGCTGCACTAGTCAGTATGAATATAGAAAATTGTTTGGATATTCTTACCAGGCGACTTCCACTGTGAAGCGGTACATTATCTCGTTCTCAACTACGTATCGCTATCCCGGCTCGTTTTTATGCTCACGATAGGATCTTTCGGCCAAATTTGATAGACGTTCCGCGCGCGCCTTGGTTGCTCTCCTCTATGGTTTCTGAATGGAGTCTATCGTGATGCTTTCAACGAATGAATCATATCCTTGACTGCCGAGCTCGTTTACATCCCCAAACAATCTTCGATGAGTCTCTGGCCAGCGATTAATTTCATTTGGACCAAGAAACTCAATGCCCAGTTTTGTTGCGTAATTTGAACGATTTGAAAATTCAACAGGGTCCATTGCGTTGAATATAGAAATAAGGGAAAAAGGAAATTCCTAATGTGACAGCCATTAAAGACAAAAGTACCTCAGACCCCGCTTTCACTCTTATGCCCTATTCGTCATATTACTAGGTCAATAATAATAGGACTCCCATTCTTAGCATTTCGTCCCAGGTCAGCGAATGATAAGCCGAATCAGGCCTGCCAATGAGGTTTCATTTCCAAAGCCTTGTTAGATAAGGGTTTCTCGTCCTAGGCTGAGTATCGGCGACAATGAACCCTGGGCACTTCCGTTTAGTATGTACTTTCGTTTACTGCGTACTCTCCCTAGTAATATGAAATCGCTCTTCAACTTTGCGCCGGCCACTAAGCATGCTCCTGACTAGCTTCCTGATCCCTTGGTACTTCTATTCAGTATGCTTTTCTCTCATTCAATTAAGTACCGACGAATCAGGGAACTTTTCCAGCTTCCTAAGCTAGCACAAGGTAAGTTAAGGGAACAATAATGACTTAATATTACTATGGAGCTATCAAGGAAACGGAAGTACCCAGGGTTCATAACCTCCAAAACTTAGGACTGCCAAGAACTTATGCCTTTTATACTAAGTCCGATGCCAAATTTGATACAATATTCAATTCCGAATTTTCCTATTTAGCAGTATAGACAATTGACGTATTTAATACTAACCTCACAATTGAGCCGATAATGTTAAAGTCACAAAACTGGAAAACGAAGCCTAAATAAGTCGAAAAAGTAAAAATCAGGCTCAATTGCTAAGAGATGAGCTCCTTTCGATTTCGACTTTCGTAATAATGCTAGATCTTATCTCGCACATACAAGATCCCATGGTAACTTTTGAAAACAACCATTCTTTATATTACAGCAAAGAATGGCTTCCAGGTTGGCACTGATATCGATATCCTCCAGGAGATTCAGAGAAGCTGCTCCCAAAGTAGGTTTCATGACGTCATATACGAGTTCACAGCGGCGAATTTGACCAGGTATTTCCTAGGACACATCGCATTCTGGCAAAGGCATAGTATCTCCTATTTCTGTTTTCCAGAGTTGCTAATGCACAGCTATGAGGCATGTCTTCCACGGAATTTTCTGTTGACACTTCTTTCCTTTCTGACGATACCCTGCATGAAGCGTATGAGCTTGAAGTTCAATCTAAAAATGGTGAGCCCGTTCGCTTCGGTGAGCTTGTTGCCGGCAAGGGGGACTCAGTCACTACAGTGGTCATATTTGGTGAGCGGTTTATTCTTGGATGTAGTCACACATTCTCACAACCCATCAGTGAGACACTTCTTCTGCATCTATGACCAAGACTATGTCCGTGATCTCGCTGCCCAGATGACCCATACAATACTCGAAACTATACCGAATCATGCCAAGCCGGCGCAGGTCATAATCATTGGCTGCGGTGATCATACTCTTATCGGACCATACATAGAAGAAACATCCGACGTCTTCCCGATATATACCGACCCAACAGCAAAGATATATAATCAGCTCAAGATGAAGAGAACCTGGACGGGATTCAATGAGCCACCTCCCTACTCATTGGAATCATTTCCTAGCGCTTTATACAAGGACCTTAAGCAGAGATGGAAACGCGGATGGTCCGGGCTCAAGGGTGGCTTTGGGGATCAGCAAGGTGGCGAATGGGTTTTCCAAAGAGGAAAGCTGAAATATGCGCATCGCATGCAGAGCGCGAGTGATCATCTAACCGCGGACCGCTTACTCAATATCTTGACAGGGGATCAAGTAGATAATAGTTGAGCCTACATTTTGATTATGAGCAACCAAATTATAGCTAGTCAGCTATCACCACCAGGTGATGAGAACACGAAATCCAACTTGAATGCCACGCCAACCCGTTGTCATTTGACAGTCTCCTTCGTTTGATCCAATATCGAATATTGGGAAGAATCACCTTCCACAGATTTCTACCCATCATATTCACTATGTATCAACGTCAAAATAACATCATGGACCATTCAACGAATTCAACCGCATTTCTCATATCATTTCATTTCTCCTTCACCCAATTTGCCTACATCCACACGTCCAACACACTATGCACGGCCATCTCGCTTGCTTAATCCGCACACAGTCACCAAATTCGCTTTTATCGGAAGTAAAACGCCACTATGGCGTAGTGGGTTTCGACAATCCAGCCGATTAGCAGACGCTCGCATGCGGTACTCAAGATATTCCGCACAAGCGTTGGGGCGAAGTGCTATTTCATTGTTTGATTTGACTTGCATTGGAGGCTTGGAAAATAATACCGTAACAGAATGTTGACCAACGTAGCTATAGCCCTGTGAAGTGTGGCGTTGATGGATCACCACCATTTCAGCGATATACTCCTTTATGATGAAGCGGCTATATTCTTTATTGGAAATATTTAGATTCCGATTGTTGGCGTGCGTCAGCTTCAGAAAGTGTTTCCAGGCCATGATGGGCTAGACAAAGATGGTCTGCAGACTTCGAACATTGTTGTGGCTTTGAAATGATAGGCTCTCAACGCAAATTCTGATACCCTCCTAGTATTGGGCTTTCCCAATGTTTACATCTTGTCCAGATAGTTGTACCAGATAGATGGCCTTGTGAGGAGGGAGACATCACTGATTCCTGCGGCGCCTAGATGTAGTTCGCCGATTCAGTGAGAGTCATAACAAACAGCGCCGATAGAATGCAAGAGCTCGCTCTGATTTACGTTTAATATGATTCAATGCTCCCCTAAACCCCGAAATGTGCAAATTGAGGACAAAAGTATCAACCTTATAGTTGTATTGGGATTGAAACTGTCATTTACATACACATGGTTGATTATGTTCCTCTATCACGAGCGTCAGGCACGCGATTTTCGACCTTTATGACAGCAGCCTTGCAACTGTGCTGCAGCCTGCATCAAGCGGCTTTTGCGTTCACGGACTGTCTTCGTCATCATTTCGATTGTGTTGTCTTCATTGAATGGACTAGACGGCCGACTTGAGTCGACTTCCGCGTTCTCGCTAGATACGAAAGGTGTCGTAAGCTTGTTCATCGAGTCTCCTAAGTGTTCTAGCAGTGACAAGGCCGACTAGATTACAAACCAAATGTGATTTGCTGGATCAACCACAGAAAACGCCCCAATTTGTAGCGAGGGGAGTGGGATGGGCATGCCTTGGGCCAAGTCCGCGCCAAACCTTTCAGCGGTCTGCGAGAAGGTATCATAACAAGCTTGGATCAACCTCATGTAGGTAGATAAAGCATGCAAGAGTGATGGTTGATCGAGCTTTATTTCCGGCTGCTGTGATTCCGTGTCTAGATTTCCAGGCGTGCTTTGAGGTTTGGCGATAAGCTGCTGGAATCGCGAGGAAAAAGTAGAGGATGTCGAAAGCGGTGATTGCCTATTCATATTCCGCACAGCGGGTGACTTAACCTGGCAATTCCCTTTAATTGCAAAAGCTTGATTAATCGCTGCGTGAGAGGGAAAATTATGTCGATCGCACATCCTGATGACGAAAGGGAGTTGAAGCTACCTCTCTCTGTAGCTATCAGGGCTGAGTTACATAGCTGGGGTTCCTCCAATGTGAGTTGATCAACTCAATCTCGAGTTCAAGAAGATCTTTCATAAATTTCTGTAGAAAGCGAGTCCGTGAACCGATTTTGCGATGAGAAGTGAGCCCCAACGATAGCTCCGATTGCTGGAAGGACAGTGGTGGAATGTCGGGGCTGATATTGTGTCCAGACTTTGGCGCACTGGGCACTGGAAATACTTCGTGTAGAGAGAGTTGATGATAGGGGATTGGGGTGCTGAAAGTCGTATTCTGGACAGAGGAACGCGAGAACGTGCCAGGTTCTAAAGGTGCGCCGGAAAAATTCAAAGACGGCGTAAATCTTTCCAGGAGGGGACGTCCAGGTCGAGGCCCATGCATAGGTTCGACAAAGTCGGATCAAGGTTCTCAGTCATGGCAACCGGGGCGTTGTTGACGGCAATTGCTTGACTATTGTTTCTTAAATATTCCCTGTTCAGAAGACCCAGGTATCAGTGGTGAGTCTTGATGTGCTCTAGGGGGCTAGAGGTACTCAACGGATTCAGTAGATCAATATCTCCCAGATGCGCTTTCGGTGCACGGGAATCTGGGGTGTCAGTCCCATGGATAACGGCCTGTCGCTGGTCCATTTGGATGTGTAGGAATCGTTGCGACGATCCTGATGGGTGGGCGGACGCCCGTGGTTCGAAGGACTAAACAAGCAATGTGCGCCCGCTTTTAAACACCGGTTGCATTTCCCTACCTTGCTGCGGTTGAGTCGACGGTCACTTCGACCGCGTTGCCTTTCATCGCGGATGAGTAACATGCAGGCAAGAACTACGTCTGGTATGTCAACTCGTTCTTCTTGACGAGGTAAATCGCATCACCGTCTTTCGATTCGAGCCAACAAAGAGAATAAACCAACAATCTATCAATTACAAGTGCTTGCTTCCAGCCTCTTTTCGGACAGACTGCGAATTTCTTTGGTCAATGTTGCCTGATGATCGGCTCGGTCGCCTGTTTCGTCCTCGGCAGTGGCATTTGCTGCGCTAGCATTCATGGTTTCTTTCTTTGAGAAGGAGAGTAAAGTACGAACCGAGTAGGAGACGGAGTATGGAATCAAGGATCCTAAAGAAAGTAAGGAAAAGAGCACCGTTACTGAGGTATAATCAAGGGAGTTTCGGAATTGGAATAAATCATTGGAAAAATTAGACTTGAGTTGGTACTCTTTCTACTTGATTGCTGATTTTGATCTGAAAATCCCAATCATCGAGTACGGAGCACAACTAGATCTAATATCACATCTAATATGAGGAGAGCTGAGGGAATGGCTGACATTTAGTTGATAATATCTGTAGCAATTGATTAAACGGCCGCAAGAGTATGCTCCTATTTTTATCTGCATAACCCCAGCCCGTATGCATGCACAAGATCAGCGTATCGCTGTCTATTGCGCCCTTAACCTCCTGATCCAGGCAGTACTCGGCTACTGGCTGCAGGGACTGTGACTTACGTGCAGCCAATAGTCGGGCGTCGCCCGGGTGAGAAATGGCGAAGCGCTGCTTTAGCGCCGCGCGACCGGGGCCCATTTCATAGATTCCCGTCAAGTCCTACAGCGGTAACGACTCGCAGACTTATGGTTTTCTTTCGGAGTTTCTGTCATGAAACTGCTACTTATTGACCTTCTTCCCGGGAGTTTATATCGCTTCAGCTGATATGCCCCGAGCACACGAGTCCTTCTTTTCCTACAATGTTACCCGACCTTACCCTTATCGGTGGTTTACACCTGTTGCTTTATTCGGAGCGGTATTCGCAGCCTTGTTCAGCCTCCTCAACTTCGCTGCAAATGGCTATGATCTAGCGGTGCAAACATCGATTGATCCCAATTCCACTATGTCTAGTGCCGGATGGCTAGATCGATGGCCCTCTTCAATCAATCAATCAATCAATCAAAGTTCTATTAACCTGTTGCAGCCTATCTAGTATCGAATAGCTATGCAGGCGCTTCTTTCCAGTTGAAGCAAGAACTCGTGTCCCGTACGCCTGATCATGCTCTAGTACAGAAGAATGGGCTGGTCTCGAAGCGAGAGAGAGTACCAGCCCTACATGTAAGACAAACCTATACCCAAATAAGAAGCCCGTACAAATAAGAGATCCAGTGTTAGGAAGCACTGGATACAAATGAATGCGTGGATGTACCGTCCACCTCCCCTGTCCTCATCTCACAGCCCACATATACACCTCTCGATCTAGATGCCAGCCAGTCTCTGCTGCAGCAAGATCAAACCCCGTTCTCCGACATCCTCACTTTAGCCTCAATTGCTGCTTATCGTTTGTTAGAGCGGGCATAGGTCTTAATCTAGTCCGGTATAGTATATTCGAATAGCTAGCTGAGGCTCTCTCCTTCCTCAAACGCTGTATTAGCAAGCGGTGGTGAGTACCTAGCGTCTTCGGGACTCTGCTCCATGATCTCAGGATCTCTAGTTTCGTCATCGGACTCTTCTTGCTAAGTGTGTTGAAACTAAGTAAGTAGGCCGGTTTGATGCATAAATTTGGCGACGTAGCGGATCGCTAGCGGGTCTGACACTAGAGTGTCGTAGTCAGTATGGTTAGAAACCCCGGCCTAAAATAGCTTGTTAAAGAGCTGCTTCCGTAGGCCCCCAAAAGTCTAGCTAGACCTCGGCAAGGACCGGGACCGGACCATGCGGTCTTTGGTCTTTTTTCATAGTAGTCAGGACCGCACCACGGTCCCCCGTGGTCCTTTGCGGTCCCCCATGCGGTCCCCCGCAATTTCATAATTATGCCAAGACCTTCCTTGTTTGGTCGTATAAACTGATTATTCAGCCACGTTTTTTACCGTTATTTAACACTGTTCTGGTATCTACACAAATTTTGATAATGAATCAGGTCTAACAATCAATAAAACAGTTGAAACTACCTTGTATCTGATTTCATGAAGCTTGGTATTAAGTTAATTACTAATGAACTTTCGATTTCGGACTGTTGTGGTTGACATTTTAGAATTTACTTCTAATCATGCAAAGATATATATATTTTCTACACCGGAGCACTTGTACGCTTAGGAAGAGTCATGACTATTAATATCCCTAGCCTAGATTTCTGACGGCCGTCAGAATTTAAGCCTATCTATTGCCTGGAAACTGTTAATATCCCCACTAGATTTCTGACGGCCGTCAGAATTTGAGCCTATCTATTGCCTAGAAACTGTTGATATTCCTACTAGATATCTAATAGCTG